AATAATCACTTCTCAATAATCATAAAATTCCATTATTTACTCTACAATAGTAAATCCTTAAAATATGTTTGTACATCTCATTAAAGCCTAGATATTTCGGAGAATCACTAGGTGGGTCAATATAACATTAGAAATGCTACAATAATTATTTTTTTTTCAATAATGATATATTAATTTAAAATATCTTTCAATAATAGTATGATTAAATAAGAGTTTATGTAACACTAAAGAAGAGTCTTGATGTTAAAATGAAAAAGATTGAAAAAATGATGAAAAATTTAATAAAAAGAAAGGACAATTTGTTTCATATAAAGTTCTGTCAAAAGAGCAATACTAACTTAATACAAATAACAAAGAGGTTAGTTTCAATTAAAGTCTCAATTTTCAAATAACAAAATAAAATAATTAAAACCTTAGACCTAAAAACACTTAACAATTAACAAACGTCTTTTTCTTATTATAAGATGAGAGGTTCATTAAAACAAACGTTAAAAGACTTTTTCCAGAAGGAAAGTTAGTCTAATAATATTTTCAATTGAAACAAAAATTTATAATTGAATTTCATAAAACCAATTTATTAATATTATAGTCTCTACTGAATTAATATTGTAATGTATGACATGAACATAAACTAAAAGAAACATCAGAAATTCATTTCGTGATTTAAACAATTCAATTATTAAATAATATCTTTTTTAATTTCTTTATCATTTTCAGATGTTTCAATACTCCTTTTTCTATTTAATTCTATTACTTTTTCAAGCCATGTTTTGCATTCTTCAAAAGAACGAGCTTCACCAATTTCTTTTAATAAGTCTTTCTTTTGTTTAATTTTGTACAACATCATTTTAATTAAATGACCTTTAACATCAGAAAGTCTGACCAAATTCTTGTCTTTATATTCAAATACAATATTAATATATTCTTCTGCTATTTGTTCATTATTATCAATAATACCTTCACACATCCCAGGATTCATTAATAATCCAAAACCAATCATATATCCATCTGAGCGAGTAACTTTTTTACACTCTTCTATTTTCTCTCTACTTCTCATTTCTCCATTAGCAATGACAGGAATTTTTAAATGTTCTTTTATTTTTGCAATATAATTCCATCTAGCATGATAGTTCATACTTTGTTTTTCAGTTATAGTCCTTCCATGAACAGCTATTCCCCATATTCCACATTCTTGTAACATTTCTACAAATCTCATTGTTTTGTCTTCATCTTCAAATACTCGGACCTTACAATATACAGGAACATTGACTGCTTCAATAACTGCATTAACAATTTCTTTAGTATGATCAAAGTCTAGTGCAAGATATGCTCCATAATTCCCTTTTTGAGCAATTTTTTGTGGACAACCTAAATTAATATCAATTGCATCACAATAACTTTGAAGAAATTTTGCTGTACGAGCCATTTCATTTGCATCACTTCCAACAATTTGAATTATTATTGGTCGTTCTTTTGGGTCAAGAGAATTGACAACTTCATTTCTATATACCTTTGATTCAACGAACATTTTTGATAATACCATTGGAGTATAACACAAATTTACACCATGTCTTCTTACTAAAATTCTAAATGTTAAATCAGATCCATCTACCATTGGAGCTAATATGTTTTGAGGATTTCCTAACTTTTCTCTATAAAATAAAAACTTACTATCTTTGTTTAGATCATTAGTTGTCATTAATATTGGAAGTGACGTACAATAAAAATAAAGTTCTTCAATAAATAAATAAAATGTGAATTTTTGGTAGTTTTATTTTTTTAAAATAACCCTCTATGATAAAGAATTTTTGTTATATTACAAATTAAAAGAATATATAAATAAATAATATTTATTCTATTATTTATATTAGTACGAAGAAGAACTATTAATGGTAAATGATTAAAATCTCACAACTTACTAATCAAGGAACTATCAACTTTAATAATAACAAGATAACAATTAGCACATTGACAAGTACTAATAACGAAATCGAAAATAGTGTTAGTTTAAACTTCAATAATGATTTAAAACTAATTGAAAATGATATTTCACGAGTTAAACAATTAACAGAAAATTATAAAAATAGTTTAAATGGATGGATACAAGAAGAAAGTATAGAACTTCAAAACCTTTGGGCTGAAAAGAGAAACCCAGGACTAAATCAATATTTAAAACAATTATCAGAATGGACAAATAAAACAGTTTCTAATATCATTTATGATTCTAACATTAATAATAATTTTAATGAAATGGTTATTTCAAAATGTAAAAGCCTTAATAATTTAATGTTTGTTATTGAAACTGATGGTGGAAATATATTCGGATCATATCATACAATTCTTCCACCAAAACCAAGCCAATGGATATTAAGAGATAAGGGTCATTTTGTATTTTCTTTGGTAAATCCATATGGAACTAAACCAGTTAAATTTACTCCTATTATTGATGAATGTTATCCATTATGGTTTTATAAATCCACTCCTTCACTATTTTGTGTACAATCTTTCTGTCATATTTCTACAAATAAACAATGTTATATTAATTCTAAAGAATGGAGTGGTAAATCATTTAATGAAACGTATAATGATACTGTTGGAAAAGGTGGAAATATTTTTACTAAAACTGTCTTTCCATCTCACTTTGGTTTAAAAAGACTAGTTGTTTTAACGTGGAGATAAAAAATATATTTTTCTCTTAATTTATTTTTATTTTTTATAAAAAAAAATTTTGATTATTATTGTTTTTGATTCAATATACAAATTTTCTTATTTTAATATTATAATTCTATTAACATTTGTCTGATTAATTTTTTCTTTGAGACATTTCTTCAATACAAATAATTTATTAACTAATATTACTAATATTAACATGGAACAATATAGTAAATTAGTCACAAACTATCAACACAAAAGTGTAATTGAAATGAAAGATTATGACTTTGGGTTTAAAAACACAAAGAAAAGTGAATAAAAGAGAAGATGAAATGAATAATGAATAAGAAAAACACAAATCAATAGAATGATTATAAACATAATACAAATAAGATACATAAAATAATAACAAAAATGATATCATAATGCAATATGAGTATATGAAGAAATAAAAAAACAAATAGACACAGAAAAATAATACAGAACAATAATGTATTCAACAAAATAAAAAGAAAATAAAGAAAGTTAAAGAATCTACTAAAATAGCAACAGAAAAAGAAGAAAAATAATGATAATAATCAAAAGAATGAAATGAATAAAAGATATAAAAGTAGAAAAATAATAAGTATGAAAAAAATAAAAGAATAACATAAGAAGAAGATAATAAAGAGTTAGAAAGAAAGATAATTAGTGTTAGTGAACATTGTTTGTACTACAACCAAAGACATAGTCAAAGTAATTGATAATGGTAACTTCTTGCTTTGAATAAAACAAGTAATAAAACTAAAAATTCTACCAATTTTTAGTTTATTTTGTTTCTATTTTATTGTTTGTTTCTTATTTTATTGA